GAAGCCTCTCGCCGCCCCTGAGACTCTGGCCTGTACCCCAGTTCTGTATGTACAAATAAATAAATCTTAAAAAAAAATGTATAAAAAAAAAAGCAGAATGTTGCTTATGGGACCCCTTGTTTTTAAAGTTTTTAGCATATTAAGCGACCCCGTGATATCTCGTTAACTCCACTTCATCTGTAAATCATGAGCCTGCAAAGTATCAATTCTCTAGATATGATAATTACGTGTTTTGCATTAACAAAAATATCCACAATACAGTAAGCTTTGATTGTCCCATCTTTTCAGAAATTTGGCATTCATAATTGTATTTGCACCCTAGGTAGTACATCCCCACTCCATGTTCATATCATCCTCCGTGGTTCTTTGTTAAAGGTCTGTCGTGCTTCTCCTCTTAGGCTTGTCACGCGCCACATGTAACTCGGCCACTTGGTCTCATCTCTGCAGCCATTGCAACTTCTGTGATGATCTTGTTTTGTTCTCCATCCTCTGAATAAAAGATGTAGGTGGAGTCAGTCGCGGTAAGGTGACTGGTGACGCTTTGCCCTCATGCTCTGCAGGTGGGTAGTCTGAGGGCTGGTCAGGGGCTTTATTATTATTATTTTAAGCTTATTTATTCATATAGAACTGGGGTACAGGCCAAAGATGCGGGGGGTGAGAGGACTCACCAGAGACAGAGTGGGGAGCAGAACAGGCAGATCCACGAAGTACACTGCTGAGGGGAGCAGCGGGCGGGTCAGGAGAGGTCTGCCACGCCCTGTGGTCACCTCCAGGGCAGGCGGGAATCAAACTGATGCGGAAGCGACTTTAGCTTCTTAGTGCTGTGCTTTAACCCGCTGCACCACCAGGGAGGGCCCTATTATTATTATTTTAATACTTTAAAACGGTGGGCTTATTAGGAAAAGGAGAAGGACAAAAGTGAGGAACCCGCAGGGTCAGAGGGGCCGGAAAGTTGCTGCATCCTGTGATGTTAAGACTCTTGGGCCAACCTGTTGCTCAGTTTCTCGCGGAGCGTCACTTTGGCCCCTGGACTCGTGTCCTTTATGCCAGTGGTCACTGACACTACCTGCTTGCCGAGCATGGACCAGTCCCGTTACTGGACAAGCTGTAGGGACTTGGCCGTGTTCCACT